TCTTCACTCATTATTGTCCATATGTAATTTGTTCAGTTGCACGTCCTCAGTAGCATTTTCAGGATGTTTGTCCTTGACCTGAACTGATGCTGCAATTACCTTGGTTACTAGTAAGATCGTTATACAGCCTACCCTGATGTGACTGCTGTTTTTTTGTGTTTGATAACATAAAAGAAATAAAAATCACAAGCGGTGCTGCAATGATTAATTAAACTAACAAAAAATATAGAAATCAAAAAAATGGATGTTGTGTGCGTATATACCGGTGCAATGAAAAGTACATTTGTCAGTGTTTGTCCACAGTTTGAATGACATCAATGTACGATAGTGTGACGTGCATCGTTGTGTGCACACATAAACTTCATTACTATGAGGTTTTTATGTGGGCATAACGACACCCGCAACATTTTTTTTTTTTAAAAACATGATTTGGTCATTGTGAATACCTTGAGTGAAATGGAGCTTGAAATGAAGTATAAAGAGATTTAATTTAAATTAATGATATGCATAGCTGCATACAGGAATGTGTAGATTTTTAATCTGTTCATTATTTCCTCGTATTATTCGCATTCCTGATTTTTTTTCACTAAATGAAAAAATTGACATAGCTTAAAGAAAATAAAAATTTTTTTAAAACCTTGATAATATACGAAGATAATTATATAGAAAAAAACATTGATCTTGAATTATTTCTTATTATTGTTTTAAGCAATGATTCTTTCATTCTTAGTATTTTTGCAAAATATATTTTTTATATTCTTGATATTTTAGATCTGTAAGTTTTGTTATTCCTGAGTGTTTTTGTTGTTGTTATTGGACATTATTGAAGTTTTCTTTAGTATGTTCCAAATAAAAATATTCTATCTATCTTTTTACAATTAAATTTATTTCATAAAATAATGCTAGTCTTGATGCTTACATGTGTGCGGTTAACAATAGCATTGACATGATAAGAAATAAATCTCAGTTATCTGCAGAAATCTGTGAAAAATAGTGAAAGTAGTGATATTTGTCATAGTTCGATTAGAGTGAATCTGGCTTGGTTGTAATATGATCTACACCCTGACTAGGTTAATATCAATGGTGAATCCATACTTTTTTAAAAAATATAATCAATAAAGCCTGGCAGTAGAATTGTTTTGAAATTATTTTTAATATTGCCTGGCACCAATCTTCAATCTGCATATATTGATGCAGAATTTTATTTTAAAAGAATAAATAAATGAAAATGCTAATAATTAGTTGATCTAGAGGAGAAGTCAAATTAGCATGTCTTGATATGTGGCTGTTTTAATTTAGCGAAAAACAAATTCTGTGATTTTCGCAAGTCGGTAAAATTCTTTGTAGTGAACATTACTAAAAGGTCTTACGACACAAATTGTCAACAACTTTTGCTAAATTTTTGTCTTCACAAATACCAAAAAATTATCAAAACATTCCTTGCACCGAGAATTAAATGGTTTACCGTAATCTTTCTATTAGTTGGACCACCTCATATTTGCTAAAACAATAATTTTTCATTTTCCTTATTTGAAATGGCCATCTTGATGTTTCTTCCTGTTAAAATAAATAGGATCATTCATGTACATGTAGGGTTGTTGTAGAATAGGGGTGCATAGTATTTTAGAATATAAATTTTGTGATACAAATTGTATATACCAAATAGTTTTTTGATGAATAAATTTCAGTGATTAATTGAAAAAAACAACAACATACACATGAAGAATGCCCAGCGGAGTCAAAACTAGTCAACACAGGATGGCCAGACATTTTGTTGTATACATGCAACTTACTTTTTAGCTCCGCTGTCGACTTTGTCGAGTGGAGCTTATCCTATGAGTAATTGTCCGTCGTCGTTGTCGTTCGTCGTCGTCCATATCAATGTTTTACTTTTTCGATTTCTTCTTGAAAACTACAAGCCTGAATGATTTGATACTTGGTGTATATGTACCTTGGGTAGACCTCTCTTAGATTTGTTCATTTCATGATGATATCTTCAATTCTCTAATTTTGGTGAATATTTTTGTCATTTTTGGTAAAAAGTGATATTTTCGACTTCTTGTTAAAAACCACAAGTCCAATTGCTTTTATATTACATATATAGGTACTACATGTGGTTCTCTTTCAGATTTGTTAATTTTGTGGTGATATCTTCAATTAGCTAATTTTGATAATTATTTTTGTCATTTTTGGTGAAAAGTGATGTTTTTGAATTCTTGTTGAAAACAGCAAGTCTACATATTGTTCATTTTCTAATGATATCTTCTGTTCTTTAATTGAAATGTGCATTGCTAACAGCGGAGCTATCTCAGCCAACAGGCTGCTTGTTAATAATTTGTAATTGCTGTAAAAATACTTTATTTTAGCTGGAATTAATTTTTTGCTCAAATATAGAAAAAAACGGTATATTCAATGGAACGAAGTAGAATATAAAGCATTTTACAGTCTTGGTATCAGGTGGTGTCAGTATAGCAGATATATAAAATAAAGGATAAATTGACAGCAGTCATAACTTCCCCCAACCCTAACCCTAATTTATTAATTTGCAATGTGTGCCACACATTGTAAAAATAACAAAACCAAGTAATTACACAAAAAATGTTTCAGCAAAATGTTTCAGCCTCTAGAGTCATCATTTTGCATTCAACACAATCAAAGACGGTTGTTGTGAGTTAGTTAGTTAGTTGATGTGATAAATAGTTGATATTGTACAATGTTTATGTCCTGTGTGAAGGTTACTCATCATGAAAGTATTTGGTTTCTACTCCGTACAGCATTTCATGTGTTTTGCATGGTTCACACTTTTTGTTTTTAAAGGGCGACAGTCGCCGCGCCGCGTCATGTTCGATATGGGACTCATAGTGACGTACCCAATGCGTGTAAAATACATTGTTTGTTTACACTAAATTCAAACACTCGCTGCGCGATGACTACCGCTCTTTAAGTTACTGATTATAATACTGTGTACTGCCCATTATTGAAACGTCATATTCTAACTAGTCATTTGGTGCCATGTGCAACCCTGTTTTCAGATGATAAGTGGCCAGTGCTTAAGGTCAATGCTCAACCATACAAACACGACTATGTGTGTGAATCATTATTTATTAAAACAACAAACCATAAATCCTTGTTATTTTCAACTGGAAATTTACCTGTTTGCACTGAAATACATATGTCTATGGTGCACTTACCAGGATCCATTTTTATATGATAACGTGACATGGACAGTACCTATTTATTGCACACATATCCATCCTTGCCCCTGTTTATCACTCAGTAGTGGGTATTGTCACATCCATTTATTCTCTAAATATAGACTTCACTCAAATAATTCAACCACTTAAAAAATATACATTGTAATTGTAATTTTTTCTTCCACAAAAAAATAATCGTGCAATTAATGGTTCAATTATTAGCAGGATTACAGTATAGATAACCTTGCAAAATGTAAATCTAATTTCCCATTCTGATCATACTTTGACCTTGGATGACATCTGCTGTACATACATCATCATTACAGACCCATTATTTTTGTGTATCACCCACCACTTCGTTATATAATTAATAATTCACAACATCTAACAATACCAATGATTTCTGTATTTCTTAGATGATAATGGTGACCTAGTTGAGAAGTCACCTTTTCCCAGGGTATTTTTTCTCATGCACAAATGGTTTACACCATCGGAGGAGCTTGCAACCAAATTTCTGGAGCTATATCCTTTTTATATGATTTATATAAATCGTGTTGACAGAATCATTGCACATAAAACACATCATGGCACATGATTGAAACATGTTTTCATCTGCCATATTTGCTCTATTGTAAATGCATACACCACCTGTTAACGTTTGCAATTTGTGACAATCCTACTACATCAATTGTTATCGCTCCTGCATCTTTATTCCACTTATGCTTCTAATATGGTATTTTAATCAGAATTCTCGCATTGTGTCTGTTCGGTCACAAAAGCTCATTGAAATGGGGGGGGGGGGTGAAAGAATGTGACAAAAATTTGAATTACTTTCAATGTCACTTGAATATTTCCTGCGCTTATTTCATTGTTTGTTGCCCGCTATAGGATTATACGAGTAATTTGACAGATGTTCACAACATAAATATCACAGGAATGTTTTTTTTTCTCTCTGTATAATGCTGCCGCTTCAGCGTTTTCAACCACCCTGTCCATATTTATAGCATTAATTCCGGTTACTTGCATACAAATCGCACAAGTATGTTGAGGCTTGCATATCTAGATCATTATTACTGGTAGGCTCAACCATTCACATTGAAGGGGTGGCATCTTGGAGGCTCAACCATTCACATTGTAGGGGTGGTATCTTGGAGGCTCAACCATTCACATTGTAGGGGTGGTATCTTGGAGGAACATGAATTTCATGACAACTAGGTAGAAAGAAAGTCTTGTTTGCTTGTTTGTCACTATATAATAACTTGAACAAGCCAAGATAAAGATGTCTCACCACTAGCATGTGCTCCAAATCTCACTTAATTTACCATAAATGTGAGACTTTTGGTATTTTAATTTTATGCTTCTGGTGAACCTGGATATTTAATTCTACTGCATTGATCTAGGGCATCAATTTACTGATTTCTCTCCGTTTAATTAGCCAATAGTGTATCTCGATCAGTCTGCATGAATATGGTGAAGAGTTGGTATCTTTTTTTTTTTGACGGGCCAAAAGAAACTAACTGTATTTGTTGTTTTCTTTTTTTTTCTGCTGAGGCAATGTGATATCATTGGTGTATTTTTAAGTTTGATAACCGGGTAAATCATTTTTTTTGGAAACTGCATCTGTAATATGGTACGAGTTAAATTATAGTAAAATTAAACTGTTGATTTGGGAACGAACATAATACCTTTATTTAGAGTTTTTGTTTAACAACATAATTTAAAATATAATTGTACATGCGCTGCGAAAACTCCTACAGGTGTTTTGAATCTCACATGCAAACGTTGTTTTTGTTATTGCTCCTAACTGATGAATTCTATATTTACTGTCAGTATTTATTTGGCAATGAACCACACTATATTGTTTTTTCATGAAATACATCTTCAAACAAAACTATGTGAACAGGCTCAAAATGTCTGAAGTTGTACCCACTTAATAATGATAATAGCTGGCAATTTATAAGTTGTGTCAGTCATTGGTCTAGTCGTAATCACCTCCTTACTGAACCACAGGTACCGGATATTGCCTTCTATTCATCATCAATAAACAGGTCTCCTTTTCAGTAATTGTTAACACGTTCATATTGAACATAGATGAAGATAAACACGAAGGCAGAATCTGTCCATGAAATGTATGACTAATATTAAATTTGATTGAAGATGATTTGGTGATAGAGTATATCAACTATATTTCCTTGAGTATGGTTGCTTCGATGTGGAGCATTCTGACAGAGAAGTGATGGGGAGTCAATTTAGAACCAGTCGTTCTTACTCCTGTTTGCCACAATTTTTCGCGAGTCAAATGTACATGCTTGTCCCCCAGAGATATCTTACAAATGTGTGTATAGAAATTGAAATATTATAAATTATTTTTTTTTGTATCTGTAGGAATGAAAATTACATTTCCTATATTCTATGAAATTTTGTAAAATTTCGAAAGAAACGTTGATACTCACAAGACAGAATCAACGTGTTTGGTACAAAACTGAAGCTAGTATCATAAAATATCTGCCTAGAACTGAATATTTCTGGTGACCGGAAGCAAATCATCATTTGAATCAACCACTTTCATTCGTACGATAGCTAAGCAATCAGGGAACCCAAAACTCATTTACTGTAAATGCAATAATTATTCACTGGGTTTTAATTTCCCTATTTTCGCTGATTATTAATCATTAATTCGTGAAATTAAAACACAGTATAAAAAGCTCAAAACATAGTAAAATAGTGAAATTAAATGTCAGCGAAAATAAATGCTTTTACAGTATTTTGTTGTGTACATTTTCGTTTCAGCAGACATGTGAAGTATGTCAGTGATGATAATTCTCCCTTCTGAAGGGGTTTTAACATTGCATTCCAAGTTATTTACGCCAGAATAATGTAAGGACGCATAAAACAGTTCTGAATACTATATGTAATATATGGTATTTATTATTTCTGTCATAATAATAGACACCGAACTGTACTAATGTCACTAGGAATGTTTTCCTTAATTTTAATGGCTTCACGTATAAAAGCTACCCCGGAGTTTGCTGCAAGTCATCATGTTTACATAGACTAGAAGACAAAGACTGCAAACGTTACCAATATAGATGTCGAGTCTGCCAAGCAGTAAGGTAAGTTGACATACGATATGATAAAACACAATACAATATTTTATTTGGAACGTACACAAACAAAAAAGTAAGGTAATGTCCAAAGAGCAAAAGACATTACTACAAGACTAAAACAGATCTAAAATACAAAAAACAAACAAAACAAAATTAGAAAGGATAAACTTGTCACAACTGGAGAGGATTTCAATGAAGTGGCTCATAAATAAGAGAGCTGAGAGAAAATTCTGTCTACATTTTTTTGATAATGCTATATTAACAATGAAATAGGTAATGTTTTTCATCTCCAATCTTGTTACAATCATGAATTTTACAAAGTCTTTCTTCTTTCGTACCTGTTCAAAGGGAGGGGGGTTTAGAACGTACTGGTTGTCCTCGTTCTTATGACAGCACTGTGAATATTTTCTCATATTTTCTCATATTTCTGTCACTGACATTTTTCACTGCAAACAGCGAACCAACCTGAAAGGGTTTGTCTCACTCCTGAACCCTTCCATCATGAACCAATGATAAAATCTACAGATAACTGAATTACAATGTGATAAAAAACAGCAACTTCTGAAGAATATATTCACGTATATTGGAAAGAATTTGCAATATTTTTTGCCATGCTGATTTCATAGCAGGCCTTAAATTTGTACATTGAGAGCATTTGGGTTTTTGATACTACTATTTTTTGACATATTTGCACCAATCTGAAAATAAGTGATAATAAATTAGTAGTCAACAGAATGGAATAGTCAGAGCAGAATGGAATCTTTATGAATCCACATACATTGCAAATGGAAAGCCAAAATGAATGCAAGGATGCACTGAAAAAGCGTCAAAATTTGATTTCCCTTAATTTATGCAAATTCAGACCATCATTTTTTTTGCATACAAGTAACAAAGCTTCATGAATGCTCCGAGAATGCAACTTTAATGTCACAAAACGTGTGGTCTTCGTTCATTCTCTGTGTAAATAATTGCCATAGATTTTGTGTGGGTAGTAGCATAGTTTTCAGAACTTGGCACCCGTCTCTTACAATGATTTTCATTAGTCTGTTTTGATTGCATAACATGCAAAATGATGTGTTTTTAGCGAGATGACAATCCAGGTTCTGAAAAAAACAAAATTTAGTGACATATAAATATATATCATGAACATAACCAGAGATACTGTTTACTTAGCAAACAAACATGCTATTTGAATTTGAGTTACTCTCCTAAGTTATTCTATACAAAAGTGGCGTGTTTCATTGCCATGACAAACAATGTGTTTTCAAAGATTGGATGCAGGCATTTCAGTACAGCAGCGACTCGCTGGGATGGTAATTTACATAGATTTTTGATTGAAAATGGTTTGTAACCAAATATTTTTATGTTAATTTTATAATTTTCTGTCACCACGTTTGAAAGCAAAAACTAAAATGTTGAAAATAATTAAATCTTTGCAGAACATAAAAACAGGAAATATGAATAAACTAAGGCTTTAATAAGATATCAATAAATTGGTATGCATTGTATAACTTCAGCTGATTTCCAGTACAATTTGTTCAATCTTGTTTATAAATATAAAACTGTTCAAATACAGACAGTGTAGAATCCTGTCAAGCATAATGTGTCAACAGACTAAGTGTGAATTGATTTGGTTAAAGGCCCAGGTAGATTAGGGTTATGCTTCTAAACAATTAGGATTATTTATTAAGTCTCACTGTAATAAACACCTCCAGCAAAGCTCCAAATTATGTTTTCTCCAACTTGTAGATCAATTGTGTAGT